TTCTTTTTGTCAAATTATAGAAGTAATTTTGTTTTAGCACTTGGATTATTGTTTTAATGTTACGGACCGAGATGATGTATTCCGGTTGGAAGAGTTGGTGTCTTGTCCAACTTCGGATTCCCAACCGAGTTGATGTGCTCCGGTTGGACGAGTTGGTGTCTTGTCCAACTTCGGATTCCCAACCGAGATGATGTGCTCCGGTTGGAAGAGTTGGTGTCTTGTCCAACTTCGGATTCCCAACCGAGATGATGTGCTCCGATTGGAAGAGTTGGTGTCTTGTCCAACTTCGGATTCCCAACCGAGATGACGTGCTCCGGTTGGACGAGTTGGTGTCTTGTCCAACTTCGGATTCCCAACCGAGATGATGTGCTCCGGTTGGACGAGTTGATGTCTTGTCCAACTTAGGATTCCCAACCAAGATGGTGTACTCCGGTTGGAAGTGTTGATTTGTTCAACTTTGTTACAACCGAGATAGTTATCTCGGTTCTTGGATTTGTTTAGTTGTGCAGAAATGCTTCGACCGTGTTATGGATTCCGGTCGACAAAGTGTTCAAACAATGATTTATGCCGAGATGTTTCGCTGAATATAGATTGGATGACAACCATGCAAGCACTTGGCAAAATTTGGCTTTTTCATTGATAAGAAGATGAATACAAGAGGTGGGGACATAGCCCGGTTACATCAAAGGGGTTGGAAGCAAAAATACAAAAACAAGGAAAAAGAAAACTAAACTAGGGGGGAGAGATTGGTGAACTCGTCCTCGCCGGCATCAAGGTTGATGATAGGACTGACTTCTTGGGCACCGGGCTCAGCACTGCCGGGCTGCTCCGGCACCTCGGCCTCCTCTGCCTTTGAATCAGTGTCATCCTCTCCATCTTCAAGTCCCTCCTCGGCCTCTGCTTGCAGAGCGCTGAATACGTCGTTCGCGTAAGGCACAAGGTAGACCGGTAGCGAAGCTGGAGGAGGGTTGGCAAATACGTCGGTGCCGGAGCCTTGGCCGAGGTGTTCGCAGGCAGACTTCCAGCCTGCTTTGAAGTAGATGTCTTGCGTTGCAAAGACCTGCTTCTTGTAGCTCTCCTCGGCCTCGTTGAAGCCAGCGGTGTTTGCAGCCCGGCATGCTTTCTTCTTCGATTTCTTCAGAATGTCCACCTCGGCTTGGAGCTCATCTCGTTTTTTCTCGGCCACATTCAGCTGGCCGAGCAGCCTGTTATTGTCGGAGTTGGCCATTTCAAGCGAAGACTTAGCCCGGCCGAGCTCGGCTTGAAGGCTTTCAACCTGGCTGGCTGTGTCGTTGGCTTTTTGCCTAAGCCGGTGGATGCGCTCCAAAACCAAGTGTTGTTTTTGAATGGCCTGCATAAAGAAGTAAAGTTGATCAGAAAGGGGACCGAGCAGAAAGGGAACCGAGCAAACACTTGTGAAATTTTTAAAAGGAACATCAACTTACCCTGGCCATAGACTTCACTGACGACTTGACCAACCGAGTGTCGGGGACGTGGTCGCTGCCGACCACGTCGCTCGGTAGTAGCAGAGCTTTTGACAGATCAAAGGCGAGCAGATGCTCTTTGTCAGCCTTGATCGAAGCCGTTGCCGGGATATCCTGACCCCGGTGCTTCAAGTGGGGGCGCCAGGCCGGTACTGGGGCGGGGGTGTCAGTTGGATGCTCAGTAGTTAGCTCGGCGGCTAACTCAGCGGATGGGTCTACCCGAGCTCTTTTTCCGGTGCGCCGCGCAGATGGTTCTCGGCTGGATTGCCCGGCGGATTGAGAGGCAAGGGCAACCACTGCACCACTGGATTGACCGGCGGCAGGAGACTGAGTTACGACGCTCGGCACCTCGGCGGATGTGGCGGTGAGCAGGTTCTTGATTCTGCTACGCTTGGCCATTTCTTCTTCCTCGGTCAGGCGAATGAGGGGAACGTCTGGCAGACTAGGATCCGGTGGAGGTGTTGGAGCTCGGAGGAAGTCAGTCACTTTACTCCGGCGGGGAGCGGAGTATCTATATGTGGGACTGTAGCCGAGGAGTTGGTTACAATCTCGGTTGCGGTAGCGAAGCGCGGTCCTGATTGCCTCTACGTTGAGGAAATTGTAGTTAGCTTGCAAGGCTTGGATGGCTGCAAAAGAAACAAGAGAATGATTAAAAACTACACAGAAATCGAGAAAGTGTATAGACCGGGATAATTTGCGCGGCTTACATGTGCTCTCAAAATTTTTGCTAATCATCCAGCCCGGTACCTCGGCGGTCTCGTAGTTGCCAGACACCCAGAAGAAATCATCATCGTGAAGATCCTTGTCTGGTGTGCCGGTTACGATTTTCTCTCTGCCCGGTCTAATCTTGAGGTAATAGGCGAGACCGTCGCCGGTGTGGCCCAAGGTGTATTGGCGTAGGACCCCGGCTAGACCTAGGCTAATGCCTAACCGGTTGTTTAGCTCATGAACGCCGTTTATTATCCTGTACGTGTTGGTGGACACTTGGGTTGGCGCTAGCTCGGTTCGGCGTAAGAACTCGATAATCAGTGGGTTAAGAGGGAAACGAAGGCCCCCTTCGACAATGGACAGCACGGTGAAGGGGCATTCCTCCCTACCCCAAGGCGTGGTCTCTTCTTCGGCCAGCTCGAGATGGACGTCGGCCGGGACGCCGTACTCCTCTCTGAAAGCGGCTAGCGCGGCCGGAGTATCCACTAGGAAGCGGAATTTCCCCATTTGTGGCCGACTTACTATAGCCCGGTTGATGGGTTGGGCACGGTGGTAATTGGTTGCAGCTCGGTCCTGAGAGGTTCAGGAATGACAGTGGTCCCCTTGGACTCTGCAGGAAAAGGATGGCAAGTGTAAGTGAGCGCGATTTCGCAATAGGAGCTAGACTTCAGCTCGGTCAGTAAGGGTGCCAAACCACCTCGGTTGTCTAATTAAGGAGCTCGGTCGCCCAAGCAGACCTGATGTTAGCCCGGTTGAGCGACCAAGTCCTTTGGTTATCTCGGTTTTTGCTGTGGTTGAAACAAACATATTGTTTGCCCGGTTTGGTTGGTTTTTTGGATCAAAAGAAGGCCCAGAGCCCGGTTCACCCCAGTTCTTCAGCGTTCTTCAGGAAGACGAAGAACACCAAGAACAGTGGGAGGTTTGGGACGTTTTCTATGGTCTATGCCCTAAAAGCTACGTTTTTGTGCCCTAATGTGTGTAAAATAAAAGAAAATGGCAACAGGATAAAGGTAGAATGACTTACCAGAGAAGGGCAGGGCCTAATCCCACAATCACGAAGAATGGCAGTGGAGTTTGAGAAAAAGGCTTGAGCTTCAGAATCGTCAGTAATGGAAGCAGCAGTAGGAAGAAATGGAATGATGGGGGGCATGTATGTATAGGCGAAAGAGACCGCCCAAATTCAAATTCTGGCAAAAACGGCAGGTTGGCTGCCTGATGACCAATGGCAGGCCGCCACGTGTCACCATTTATGGCTACGTCAGGACTGAAGCGACGGGTTGAAAAGACGAAGAGCCAACCGAGCTACTTTCGACGAAGAGGAGGTCAGCCGGGGTACATATTAGATTGTTTGTGCAATTGGTTGGAATAAATATTGCATGATACATATATAAATGTCTTTATTTCTAAGAAGACATTTATCGATTGTTCTACCTTAAATGCATGTTAGAACATGTTTTCTACGGCTGACTGAATTGATATTTTGTAACAAATTCTAATGTTTTCTTTTTTGTTTTTTTTCTTTTTTTTTTTTAGATGGCTTTACGTGGACTTATGGATAATCTATTTTGGTGTATGGAGAAGAAATTTCACTTTTGTATAGTACTAATATAATACTTTTGTCGTCCTCAGCTTTTGTGTAGTTCACTATTACTGATATAGAAAACTTTTGGCAATCAACAGATAGTGACTGGCGTGGTACATAGATCACCTTCTGTCGTGGTATGACCATTTGTCGGCGTACATATATGACTTTTTGTCATGGTCTATAGAAAATTTTTGTCGTGGTACATAGATCACCTTTTGTCATGGTACAGATTACCATTGTAATCTGTACCATGCCAAATGGTAATTTCACTTGGTAGTAAAAGTATTTTTTTGTATACAGAGGGTTTTGATTTCTATATGATTCTATATTTTGTATGAAATTATTATTTTAGTTTGGACAATAATTGGTTTGTATGGACTTTGACATTTAAAGTTATTTATTTTTTTGTACATGGATGCAGATTGTGGAATGATTGATAGTATATATATCATTTTGTTTATAAACGTATTACAGGTTGCATGGAATATAGATAGGTTGTGGAGAAATTACAATTTTGTGATAAAACATAATATCATATTTTTGGCGACTAAACAATTATTAGCTAAAAAGAAATTGGGAAAATAGTTTGGGCGGCTAAAAGTTTTGTCCAAAAAAAAAAAAAAAAAAACATTTGATTGGCAGTTGTCTTAGTTTTTCTTCTATATTTCTAGTCCTTGAAATTTAGGACCGTATGTATTCACAATATGGAAGGTTATCTAAGTTTTCTCTTGATTTTTCTGCTATTTGGAATATAGGCACATGATTATGCATATGGGTAGATGTTATATAATTTTGAACGCCATGACTTTAGGGTCCAATTTAAACTTGGGAGATACGAGATCTATAGTTGAAGCTCTTGCCAAGTCAAAACAAGGTTAGCATAGTTCACTTTTCCTTGTGCAATTCAGTTTGATATAGTGCTTTGTCTTCCCCCCAACTTTTTTTATTCTTTCTGTTGGAACGCTAAATCGTTGAGTTTCTATGCAGTTGAACACTGATCTGCCGTAGAGAGAGGTCACTGACATAGTTTTATTTTTATTATTTCATGCTAAACTAAGACATTGAAGTGCATTAAATTTTCAAGTCAAGTTTGATATATGTTTTTGCAGATTTTGTTGAGGGAATAGTTGATATGATTGAGTGATTGATGTTGGGAGCCAAAGATTATGTTGCTCTTTTTTTCTTTTTCTTTTTTTCCTTTCCTTTTTTTTTTTTTTTTTTTTTTTTTGAAGACTTGAACTTTTTAGTACAGTTTATTTAAGGATGGTTAATGAATAATGCCTATTATAAATTTAATTAATTTGTTAATTTTGTTATTTTTCATTTATAAAAAATTGTTTGGTGCTTGTAATTGATTTTTTTGTTGTAGCAAACCCATAAATGATTTTTTTTTAATAAATAATTATTTGCGACAGTAAAACAATGGTCGCTAAAAGTGGTTTTTATTTTTAATTTTTTTTTGCGACGGCAAGATAACTGTCGCAAAAAGTAGTTTAGGCCGTCACAAATAATTTGCGACCGTTGCTTTGTCGTTGCAAAAAGTATTTGCCACCCCCACATTTGCGTCCCCCATATGCGGTTGCATAGGCAGTTGCAGAGAGTCTTTTGCGACTGTGATTTTATTATTTGCGACGGCATGTGGCGGTCGCAAAAAGTATATTTTTTAATAGTGTAAGTTTTTTCATATGCTTCTAGCGGTTTCTGAATTAATTTGTTTTTTTTTATTTTTCAGGTCAGAAATTTCTTAGAGAGATGCAACATATGGTCAAAGAATTCAAGAACTTAGTTTTTTTAAGTTTTTTTTTTAATTTTTTAATATATGTAATCACAATTAAATTTTTTTTATTAATTTCTTTGTATATACTTTTGAACATTTCACTTTCATTTATGAAATATATGACGTTATTCCATTCAATATATGGTTGTGATTCAAAATATAATATATAGTGTGTATTATATTCTTCAAATGCGCGTACAAAAATAATATTGATTATTCTTCAAATATGTCAAATTTTTATTTTTTATCATAGGTTTTATTAGTTATTAATCATACTTAAAAGGTGTGGTCTAAATTTTATTAATCACACTTAGTGTGTTGTAAATATTTTTAATCACACTTAAAAGGTGTGATCTAAATGTTTTTAATCACACTTAAAAGGTGTGATCTAAATTTTATTAATCACACTTAAAAGGTGTGATGTAAATATTTTTAATCACACTTAAAATGTGTGATCTAAATGTTTTTAATCACACTTAAAAAATGTGATCTAAATATTATTAATCACACTTAAAAAATATGATGAAAGCATTTTTTAACACTTTAATAAAACTTAAAAGGTATGATTAAAAAACAAACATCACCCAAAAAAATTGTGATCTTTATCTGTTTTTGTAGTAGTGATATAGATACGATAACAAAAACATACATATTAGGTGCATTGACGAAAGCTTGTCCTTGCATTTTCATTTAACAGTTGATATCCCTTTTCTGTTACTCTCAAAGCTGTGGAAGACACGAGTAAAGTAGGTCAAGAACTTGCATGAAAGAGATGCGTGTATGAAAAAATTCGTTACTTTCACCATATGTTTCAATTTTCTG